TGAAGGAGGGATACATCATGTTTATTGTCTTCTGATTGTCTTCATGATAATTTCCCTGAAGAGAATAAAGAAAGGTGTTCTAAGATTTGTGGCATAAGACAATAACAGATACTGAAATCTTGGCAACATAGGTGAGACCTGTGTGTTCGTAAGAATATTTTCTTCCGTGTACTAAATAAAGATACGGTTGTAGCTTATCATTAGATGCACATTATTTATTAAAAAAGGTGTTGTTTTCATTTGTGCATGCTCTACCCAGATGCGTTAATGATTATAGGTGAAATGTATTTGCACATAGATACTTTAGCTACACTAAATTAATTTTTTAGATAAATTCTGCTATCAGGTAGGGCAGATGGGAAGCAGCATTTCAGAGCGTAACGACATGGTCCTGACTGCGGTAGGATAGATGGGAAGCAGCATTTTCCATCCTCCCGCGCCAGACCAACTTCGTCATTTTCTGGTGAGATGACGGCTCCTTAGTCTGCTTCATGGCTCCATGGACGTGGTCCTGACTGCGGTGGATTTTAGTCTTGTTTCCTTCTTTGCAACGACCATGCTGCTACCCCTCTTTGCTAACATGTGTTCTGTTTTTGCAGATTGGTGTGAAGTGAGCACACATTTGTTGATCGTTAGTCTACCGCTTGCTTCCTGTTCTCTTCATTACTTCCTTCCTGCCGTACCACTGGTGAGATGTTGTCTCCTCATGCTTTTATCCGTTCATATGAGTGATTCAATGTTGTTGTTGGACTGGTTTATTGTGTGGATGGGGTGGCGCTCGTCAGGTGTTTGTGCTTATGCTCCACACATGACCTGCTTTAAAAATTGTCTTGTCAGGATTTGTATTCATTGCACACCCCGCTGCAGATCCGAGCAGGCACCTTGCATCCTTCCTTTTGCACTGTGAATCTTATTACTTAACCAGATCTGCGTATATCTCGTGTGTTAACCAGATCTGGATATATCTCGTGTGATGATCTGCGTCATGGATGGCTGATGAGTATTCAGTGATGTCTGCTATGTTGTGCGCTAAACGTTTCACCTTTTTTATGGTGTTTTTCCTCGAGGAAACTATTGCTCTGAGAACTAAAGTGATGAGGCACTTTTAAGCCCTCAAATTTAGTTGTATGCTATTATCGTTGCACTTTATGTTGTTTTTCCAACTTCAGTTAACTTGCAGGATCCACCTCTAGCCTACCCCAACTTGCTTGGGACTAAAGGCTTTGTTGTTGTTGTTATTGTTGTAGTTAACTTGCAGGATCGCGACAGTTATTGGAAGATGATGAACAAGTACATAGGATCAGATGTAATGTCAGTTATTACACTTCTAATCATCATCTTTGAGCTTTTGGGAAAATGGCAGAGGTTTGTACTGGTGAGTTCTGGTTTAGAGTTCTAAATTTTTGTACATTTTACCTACCTTGCTTGGCAGATCAATTATGAAAAGTCTGAACCAGCATATTAGTCCTATGTTACTTAGTAGTTCAAGTTATGTCTAATTCTGTACTTTTGTAATTTCAGATGGACTATGCCCTTAAGTTTCCCTCTATACCACGCTGGAACGTCTAGACCACAAGAGGAACATAAAACATTTTGATGTTAGAGGTTCTCACATCCTGAAGACACAATACTTGTAAGATTCTCATTTCTGTAAAAAGACTCATAATTCAAATATTTTTTATTAGATATCATACTAAAATGTTAAACATTTTGCTGAACCAGGCCATATGGTGTCAACCAAGAACTTTTTTTGCTTTGGCTGTTGAATATATCACATTTTCTCAATCTATCTACCAGGATGAACTCTTGCATCTTGATAGATAATCTTGCTATTCTGATGTCTGGTCATGCAAACTTCCTTTTTTCTTTGAGATTTAAAAAATAAATTGTGGAACAGGTGGGTGAAAGAAAACATGTTGTACCAGCTACATTTTGCATGGCAAAAGTTGGCATATTGTTATCTCTGCTGCTGCTACGATTCCTCCCTGAACTTTCTGATGCTTGCATATCTTGAGCCAAAAACGATATGTGCTGCTGCAGTTCTCCTCCATACATTCTTTTCTTTAACTGTTGGCTCGCATTAGTACTGTACAATCACGTTATCAGCTCCAGCAGCTAGATTAGTACGCAGATTCACGCCTCAGGTGGCGCGCCCAGGGCGCGCCCCAGCCACTAGTGTAAGGATCAAGGCATGCCCAAAGCCGCTGGCCTAGTGCAACCAAAAGGGATCGGAGCTCCATGGTGATGTCTCCAAGAGGGTCACGACGCCATGCGCCACCATCGAGTCTGAAAAGGACTAGGGTTTTCACTCGGACATGCACCGTTAGGGGACCCGCAACGGCACCTCCAAGAGGGAAGCAACACCCATAAGCAACGTTGCCAGCGCCGAAGTGTAGAGCTTTCGCTTGAAACCTTACATGTACCACTCGCAACACCCAGGTGCCGACCCAACTAGAGGGCGGATCGCCGCCGCCAGCTCGAAGCCTCCAGATCCAGACCTGAGGGCAGCCATCACTGAAGGTACAGTGACACCAGGATCACGCCCACCAATTCCCTTGCTACTACCCACATCGCCAAGATGAGGTGACACTACCGTTGTAGTGGTGGTGCTGCTTGCCGCAGAGCCAACCAGGCAAGCTCACCTTCCAGTGTCGCCATGGCGTCCAAGACGAACTCTTGGCCGCCCCAAGACATGAACCTGCCGGAAAAGCAAGAACCTTGGAATGTACCCAACAACCAATTAGTGCAGAGGAACACTGGCTCCAGAGTCCAGATCCCGCCTGGATTCAGCCCCACACCAATCAATATGTTCGGGGACAGGGATCATTGGCCCCTACCCACACCGCACTGCCGAAGTAACATTAAAACACGTCGAGTCATTGTGGCAGGGGGGCTCCATGGGCCAGATCTGGCCTCTCCAGATCCGGCCAAGGATGCATCCGATGGACCGCCATCCTCACCCAAAGATCCACCAAACGCCACGCCATCGGTCACCGGAGGTTCGCACGCAACCACAACCGCAACCACCCCTGCCACCTAGGCGATACACCCTCGCGTGGGTGCACGCTTGAAGAGCGTCAAGAATCCGACCATCCACAAGACCAAACCATATGCCCGTGCCGCGTCAGACACCGTCGAGTGGGCCCGCCACCTCACGCACCCCGTCGCCACGCAGCAAGTATCACTGCCAGATCCTTGCCACCATGTGTCGCGTCGCCGTGGCAGCAAAGGCGAGCGCACAAGCCCTGCCGCCACCTTCTGCAGCATCGCCACGGCTTTGCCAATGACTCCTCTAATGATGGCAGCGCGTGGGAGAGAGGAGGAGAAGGACGAGTGTGGCGGCGGTTAGAGTTCACATGATTTTTCATCGAAACTCATGTCACTTTACCAATACAACTGATATAGGCAATGAAGGAGAAGAAATGGGTTCTGTCATGAGTGTCTTCTGGTTCCCATTTTTCCCGCGCACCATGAGGTGAGAGGAACCACACATTGATGACATGTTATAGAGCAGTTCTAGTCCTTTCTTCTGCTTTGTGTGAAAAAGGGCCCAAATCTATTAAAAAGGTTCATAAGAAGTACAAAGCACCCTAAACATAATAAAAAATGCATTAAACGGCTTGACCTTGCCGATGACAGTCAAGAAGTCTTCATGCACGTGCCCCTAAGGACTAGCTCCCCATAGATGTAGGCATTGCCATTGAACCCTTGAATTGATATAGAACTTGACACCAAATCTCGCCGGCGCGCACACAGCGAGAAACCCTAACCTCGCCTTCCGAAGGAGAAGGTGGGAATCTACGACGAAGCTCCGTCGACTCCATCCCAATGGAAAAACTCAAGGAAGATCAGATCTTCAAAGACCAAATCGAAGATGAAGCGCTGCCATTGGCCGGAACGCCCCTGCGAGAAAAAAATTCCAACCTAAACTGCTAGCTGGAGCTGAGGCACCTAGACCCCCTGCTTGGCATTGGCCGCCTGAGGGGTAGGCAGAGGGGAAGTGGATCTACGATCTTGCCAAGAAGCTTGGAGGGGATGGGTACCCTAGCTGCCACAAGCTGGAGAGGGAAAGAGAAGTCCTAATGGAGATCTAGTAATTTATAATATGCTATGTTCATGTGTTCTCGGTGTCAATGCATCCAACACCAAAGAGCATGTGATATTGGAGCCCCGCAGATAGGCAAACCCTGATCTTGAAGTTAGGTGTCTCATGCTTTGACCTGCCTTGGGGGCTGGTGGACAGCGAAGAAGTGTGACGTGTGCTTTGATTAAATTCCCGCTTCGATCTTATGTGTTCCTGATCTTCTTGACCGACAGTTAGGCGATAAATCAACGGTTAGACAACTTGCCTTGTGAGGGGTGTATCCCCAACCACACCATGTTCAATGATTATAGATTCTGGCGTGGACTTATGCGGCTCTTCAAAACTTTTGATATTATTCTAGTCTGTGGCTCAATGTAATTTCCATCTTCTTCGGATTCATAACCCAAGTTATGGTCGAAAGTTGAGATGCAAAAGGTGAAGCTAGAGATGACGACTTCGAAGAATCCGAGTGTACCTTTTAGTTTTATCATGGATCTTTGTCGTTCATTTATGTTTCAGTTTGTTCGATTTGATGTACTTTATTGAATAAATCGATAAATTTGGATCATTTGCTAAAATAACACTTCACAATTTACCCAAAAAGTTAACAGTTCACGTCTGCTCAAAGGGATATTAAATAGAGATACAAACTTGAGAAATTAATACCTCTTTGAGTATATATATAGCAGGTCATCAACAGTTCTACATGACATAAAACATTTGACCGACTGATCAGCAGTTCAGTTCAGCCAATGTAACAGCATGCCTACCTACCAGGTTCGTCATGGAGTTCAATCTCAGCCTCACTCACTCACTCGTGCTATCTTAATAAATCAAAATTCCCTTATTTTCCTGATTTATCTCTCTTGGTTGGTTGTTGGGCGCTTGATATGTATTCCGGCCGGGCACCCCTAGATCAGAGGCAGCACGACGATTCTCTTGGCATGCCCATCTCTTCCACCGGAGGCGCGTCGACGATGGTCATCTGCACTCCATCCTCCCTTTCCACGAGGCGGCCCCTCCTCTCGCGATGCTCCTGGCAGTTTGCGCACCAGTGCAGGCAGCAATGGACCATACAAGGGTCGCATGGCGAGTTCTAGTGGAAACAAGTAGGAGGTAAAATCACTAGAATCAAAGTAGCAAATTTTGACCCAACATATGAGGACCTGACATAACCACAGAATGTAGTGAAGGGTTTCATATTTCCACCTTGAGATGGTACTTTTTCTGGAGCTCCTGACGGAAAATGCCGGTATAGGTACCACACAGCCACCAGCTGAACAGTAGACCTTCTCCAATAAGAAACGACGATCTTGGATCAACCCCATGGAATATTGCTGTCAGGATCGCAAGGGCGATCCCTCCTTCCACAAAGACGGCATGGCAAACACACGGTGCTGTCCATGGGGTATCCTCGTTAAGAGCCGCAACATTGCGCCCGAACAACACGCATGGACAGAAGCATCCAGTTCGGCCTAACACATGAAGAAATGCAGAGTTTTACTATCAGCTAGCATTCGGTGGAAACAACATGCTAGACATGGCCTCATCAAGAAGGATACATTAGTTTAAGAATGGAAGACAAAAATTAGAAGCCATATGTTTATGTTCGACGGCTCGATGAGTCAGCTTTCGACGATTCCTTAAGCAGGATGACCATGAGACCATTATATATGAACTAACAGTGTATACAGACACAGCACATGCTTACCTAATAATAGAGTATAGTCAAGTCAGAGACACTACAGCTATAGCAAATGTCAGCAGAAATAAATAGGTTTAAAACAAGCGAGACAACTTGACAGTGCACACCTTGTTTTCTCGATAAAGGAATCTTTTATTAACTCATATTGTAGTATCAAGCGGGTACAAAGCATATTGAGTAGCCATCCGGCCTCGGCATGAATAGGATGCAAATAGTCAAAACGAACAGTCTCATAGTGTAAAGAAGACATTAAGGCAAACGTAAAATCATATAAGCCTGAAATTTTGACTATGTAGGAGAGGGTGGAGGTTCTCTCCGACGATTATGCCACCACACATGTTGGCTAAAAAGATATATTCTATTATATGATCCACTTATGTTCAAGAAGGGTGTGGATATGCATAACTGCTTACAATAGCAAAGATTTGCAGGTGACACGCAAGAGGCAAAAGAAAACATAAGTAAACATCTATTAAGTCAAGCAAGGAATAAATATACAATCAACTAACATAAATTTATCCTGATCTGCATTGCAAATTTGCAATACAAAATTCAAGAAACAATATATACTAATATATGGGCGAATGGTGAACAGATAGGTGAGGCACTTAATATAACATAAGTCAGAACAAATTTACCACTCAAGGTTGCTTAGGAACAATTTCAGACATTGTAAGTACAACATTTATTCATGATTTATGAAAAATAAACACTATTCTTATTCATATTATCTGCACAGATGGGAAGTTAGTGTTCCCTTACTCTCTAAGCATAAAAAATTAAATGTAGTGTTAAACATGGTTAGTTCTACTCTAAACTTGTATATGTATATGCTCTCAGTGGGGAATTGGAGATTCAGGACCTTGATCCAACAAAATAAGTGCCCAGTTACGAAAATGTTGCTCAAGCTAATTATGGAGGAAGTTTTGAATACCTACAGAATAGATATGCCACTGTCGCCTCGGTTTTTTTTAGAACAAGAGGGACAGGGAATGCCTTCACTGCATTATAGAAGAAGAGAATTGCCCGGTTAATCAGGGATAACCGGGCAAAAAACCCGATACAGAGGCACAGTTAATTGAGAAAACCAGGCAAAAACCACACACACCACACGACTGATAAAGGGACAACATGCAACAACAAAAAACGCCCCCACGATTGATGAAGGGACAACATGCAAAAAACCCGACCACATGATTGATTAGGGCACAACGTGCAAACCCCCCGCACAACGATGACAGACCCCACCGCCCGTGAAGCGCCGGAATGCCACCAACGCGGAGTGAAGCCACGACCCCACTCACAGGGCCACCGCCGCACCGCAGCCCGGGGTCGCCATCCCGGCATCCAACCAGCAAACTCGAGACCACCGTCTCGACTTCCACTACCTCCGTCAACGAGACCAATCAACACGGCACAACCAACAGATGTAGGCTGGGCCTCAAAAGGCGAAGCCCCCAAGGGGGAAGTGACAAAGACTCCACCATCACCTCTGTTTTAGATTGAGTATCGTACACTATTGATTCTGGACAAACATTTATTGGTCAATATTTGACCTATTGGCATAGGATAGATAGTACTCAAAGTAGCGGGCATCGAATTCTTGGTAAACCAGGATCTATTTAAATGGGGTTCACATACTAGAGGGACATTTTCTGCACATATTATGTAAGTATGTCACGTGTCTTGGGGTCTTCTTGACTTCTTTGCAATGTGTTGATAAGTCTCTACACTCTCAATTTTTGTGGGAACGGCGATGTTATTCTGGTCTATCTTGTTTTGTCGGAGTGGCCTCATCTTTCCAAAGAACGAAACTACATCTTTTATGTGATTGTTTCTCTTATGTACCAATACGGTGTGGTCGAGGGCTGTCATACAACATCTGCGACACCAAGATCAAATGGAGCTTCGCACCAAGAGCATGAATGGAGAGAACTATTCTGAAAACAGATCGATGGGCACATCATGGCCACATCGTTTTTGTTTTCTCCGATCAATCGAGTAGCCGAGACAACGGATCAGAGAATCGAAATGGGAAGGCAGGATTAATTACGTACAGATCGCGGGGTCGGCGGTGCATCCGAAGATTCCGGTGCTCCAGGGCTCGTCGGCCGGCAGCTGGTAGGACTCCGGCAGGACCTGGCCGCACTCGGCGCACCATCTGCACCCGGGCTGTGCATCGACCAGATCAAATATAGGAAAGAGATCAGTGGATTGAGAATCAATGAGGATGGAACGAGATGGATCGAGGAAGGAGAACGTACCCGTGGGACGTGGACGGGCTGGTTGAGCTCGCCGGGGCAGATGTCCTCGGCGGGCGCCTCCTGGTCCCGGGTGAGCTTCACGTAGCGCGGCGCCTGGCTCTCCTCCGCCATTGGTCGCTTTCCTCGCCGGCCAGCCACGATGGGCCCGAGTCCAAGGGAAGGACTGGACGATCAGATTCATGCAAAGTAGTTTCGGGCGAGACAATCCGGACCGTTCGCGTCGCACGGCTCCATCCCAGTGCGCCATTGGGCTCCGCTCGCGTCGCACGGCTCCGTCCCGATCACACGGCCAGCGGGGAGTTCATTCTGCCCGTTTAAGGACTATCAAACCATCTGCATCCCTTCGCGCGGAGCTGTCCGAACGTGTTTTGTCATCCAATGTGGTACTTCATCCGTCCGCGGACCGGTTTAATCGTCCGTTTTTCCGCAAACTGCAGGCAAGATTAGGGAGGCTGTGTGGGAGTTCGGACATTAGCCACATAGGACTCTGACACCCCCTACCTCACTGAAATCCCCTCCTGGTCCCTTTTTCTTCCACTCCACCCTACTCCCTTTCCTTTCATCCGCACCCTCGTGGTCTGGCGCCGCCTTTGTACCTCTCCGGCCACCACTAGGCATCCTCGGATGTCCGCAGACCCCACCCACGCGACTGCCCACCTTGGACTACGCCGATGTACACCCAAGAATCCCTCCGCAGTCTGATACCCTTCTCACCCCTGTCGACGCCGTCCATGGCAGATACCGCGCCTGACAGGTGTTTAGTCAAATGTCATTGAGTTTTTTTAACTTCTTATTGTTTTTCAGAAAAGCACGATGACAGGGTACTCATTGTTTAAGGGTGACTTTGTTGTGCGATGCGAGGTTGGCCATTTCTGAGACAAGGGTCCGTCCTTTTGGCAAAACTTGCATGCTTCGTTTCATGAGCGAAAGAACTTCGCACCCTACGACATGCATGTTATCCATGCACGCATTGTGAAGTCACTAACGCATCGGCGGTACACCATCTGCAACTGCATCATGAAATTTTGCGATGCGCCATTGGGCTCGTCAACCATGGAGATCATAAGTGTCGGTTGGTAACTGTGGAAACACGTGCCAATAGCCGGAGCAATCCTTGGGGTACACGTCAAGTCTTCGGCAGAGTGCATCTTTACCACGCCAGGGTTTGAGGCCTCCGGAGTCCTTCCTTATGCAATCGGTGGGCCATAAGCTTGGCCCATGGACTGTGGGCCAACTAGGTTGGTATCCCTTAGTCCAGGACACCGTCAGTAGCCCTGAACTTGTCTTCGGAGCTGGGACAGCAATCTTCCTCGGGCGAAGGACTTCGGCTTGGGGTCTTCAGCTTGACAGGAGAGTTCCTCCCTCCTGGTGTTTGTTCATATGAACCTTGGGCTTTCTCTATGCAAAGCCGCTCTCCGAGCTCTCCTTCTAACGGGGCCGCCCATCAAAGGTATATGAAAGTTTTAGAATATTGGCGTGAAACAATCAAAAATAATAGATATGACGGAGACGTATCACATATCACAGGGTTTGGATGCACCGACGAAGTTTGCACCAACTCTCGAGGTGAGAAAGGGCAATTCACGGTACCAAAGAGGCTAGCAAATGGTGGAAAGGTAAGAGTGTGTATAATCCATGGACTCACATTAGTCATCAAGAACTCATATACTTATTGTAAAAGATTATTAGTCCCTAAAGCAAAGTACTACTATACATGCCCCTAGGGGGTAGATTGGTAGGAAAAGACCATCGCTCGTCCTCGACCGCCACTCATAAGGTAGACACTTAATAATAAATCATGCTCCAACTTCATCGCATAACTATAGACTATACGTGCATGCTTCGGGAATCACAAACCTTAATACCAATATTTTTACTAAACCACAATCATTCACTAGTACCCCCACATATTACCATCCCAATAACACACAACTATCATATTCAGTGATTTACATGAAAGTTTTTATTATATTCCTCTTGAATACCTATAATATCAGGACCAATTTTATAACGTGTGCATATCGCCATTACTATCTATTAGACACTTAAAAAGACATAAGTGAAGAATGAGAGTGCAAGTATTTCTTTAAAATATAACCATCGTCGTACTCTAAAAAATATAAGTGAAGTACTAAAGCAACTACCTAGCTCAAAAGATATAAGTGAAGCACATAGAGTATTCTAACAAATCATGAATAAATGTGTGTCCCTCTCAAAAAGTGTGTGCAGTAAACAATGTTCATGGAAAACTAAAAGCAAACAAAGCAAAGGTTACTATAATACAAGAAGCTCCCAGCAAAATCATATCATGTGATGAATAAAAATATAGCTCCAAGTGGTATACCGATGGATTGTAGACGAAAGAGGGGATGTCATCCGGGGCATCCCAAAGCTTAGTTGATTGGGTCTCCTTGAATATTACCTTAGGGTGCCTCAGGCATCCCCAAGCTTAGGGTCTCATACTCACCACCCCAGTCAGATTGCATAGAAAGGATTTTTGGAGTTTAGTTGGCGTTCAACAAGATTTTTGAAATTGCTAAAGACTTAAATACATCGGATCATTTCTTTAGCAAATAAATCCAAGTAAACTTACTATAATCATCAATAAAGCTTACATAGTATGAGAATCTACCAACTGATGTAGGAGTTGGTCCCCATACATCCATAAAATAAGTTGCAAAGGAGCAGTCGATACACTGGTAGAGATAGGATATGGCAACTAACGACTCGTAGCTTGTTGACACGCATCACAAACTGACTCGACGCTAGACTCATAAGGAAGTTTATTTCTACTAAGAAAATGTCGAACGATAGTTGAAGAAGGATGTGTTGGGGAACGCGGTAATTTCAAAAAAAATCCTACGCAAACGCAAGATCATGGTGATGCATAGCAATGAGAGGGGAGAGTATCGTCTACGTATCCTCATAGACCGTAAGCGGAAGCGTTATGACAACGTGGTTGATGTAGTCGTACGTCTTCACGATCGACCGATCTAGTACCAAAGATACGGCACCTTCGCGATCTGCAGACGTTCGGCTCGGTGACATCCCGCGAACTCACGATCCAGTAGAGCTTCGAGGGAGAGCTTCGTCAACACGACGACATGATGATGGTGATGATGTTGCTACCGGAACAGGGTTTCGCTTAAGCACCGCTACGATATTACCAAGGTGGATTATTGTAGAGGGGGGCACCGCACACGGCTAAAGATCAATGATCAACTTGTGTGTCTATGGGGTGCCCCCTTCCCCCGTATATAAAGGAGTGGAGGAGGGGGAGGGGGCCGGCCTCTCTAGGCTCGCCCCAAGGAGTCCTACTCCCACTGGGTGTAGGATTCCCCACCCCCTTCCCTTTGTTGGTTCTAGGAGAGAAGGAAGGAGAGGGAAGAAGGAAGGAAAGGGGGGGCGGCCCCCTTCCCAATTCGGATTGGGCTTGGGGGCGCGCCCCTCCTTTGCTTCTTTTCCCTCTCTTCCACTAAGGCCCAATAAGGCCCATATACCTCCCGAGGGGTTCCGGTAACCTCCCGGTGCTCCGGTATACTCTCGTTTTCACCCGGAACCATTTTGATGTCCAAACATAGGCTTCCAATATATCGATCTTTACGTCTCGACCATTTCAAGACTCCTCGTCATGTCCATGATCAAATCTGGGACTCTGAACTACCTTCGGTACATCAAAACACATAAACTCATAATATCGAATGTCATCGAACGTTAAGCGTGCGGACCCTATGGGTTCGAGAACTATGTAGACATGACCGAGACATGTCTCCGGGCAATAACCAATAGCGGAACCTGGATGCTCATATTGGTTCCTACATATTCTACGAAGATCTTTATAGGTGAAACCGCATAACGATATACGTTGTTCCCTTTGTCATCGGTATGTTACTTGCCCGAGATTCGATCGTCAGTATCTCAATACCTAGTTTCATATCGTTACCGGCAAGTCTCTTTACTCGTTTTGTAATGCTACATCGCGTAACTAACTCATTAGCTATATTGCTTGCAAGGCTTATAGTGATGTATATTACCGAGAGGGCCCAAAGATACCTCTCCGACAATCAGAGTGACAAATCCTAATCTTGATCCATGCCAACTCAACAAACACCATCAGAGACACCTGTAGAGCACCTTTATAATCACCCAGTTACGTTGTGACGTTTGGTAGTACACAAAGTGTTCCTCCGGTATTCGGGAGTTGCATGATCTCATAGTCATAGGAACATGTATAGTTATGGAGAAAGGAATAGCAACAAACTAAATGATCATCGTGCTAAGCTAACGGATGGGTCAAGTCAATCACATAATTCTCTAATGATGTTATCCCGTTAATCAAATGACAACTCATGTCTATGGTTAGGAAACATAACCATCATTGATTCAACGAGCTAGTCAAGTAGAGGCAAACTAGTGACACTTTGTTTGTCTATGTATTCACACATGTACTAAGTTTCCGGTTAATACAATTCTAGCATGAATAATAAACATTTATCATGATATAAGGAAATATAAATGACAACTTCATTATTGCCTCTAGGGCATATTTCCTACAGTCTCCCACTTGCACTAGAGTCAATAATCTAGATTACATTGTAATGATTCTAACACCCATGGAGTCTTGGTGCTGATCATGTTTTGCTCGTGAGAGAGGCTTAGTCAATGGGTCTGTAACATTCAGATCCTTATGTATCTTGCAAATCTCTATGTGTCCCTCCTTGACTTGATCGTGGATGGAATTGAAGTGTCTCTTGATATGCTTGGTTCTCTTGTGAAATCTGAATTCCTTTGACAAGACAATTGCACCAGTATTGTCAGAAAAGATTTTCATTGGAACCGATGCACTAGGTATGACACCTAGATCGGATATGAACTCCTTCATCCAGACTCCTTCATTTGCTGCTTCCGAAGCAGCTATGTATTCTGCTTCACACGTAGATCCCGCCACGACGCTCTACTTGGAACTGCACCAACTGACAGCTCCACCATTTAATAAAGACATGTATCCGGTTTGTGACTTAGAGTCATCCGCATCAGTGTCAAAGCTTGCATCGACGTAACCATTTACGGCGAGCTCTTTGTCACCTCCATATACGAGAAACATATCCTTA